TGAGAGTGAGAGTGAGAGTGAGAGTGAGAGCGAGAGTGAGAGTGAGAGTGAGAGTGAGAGTGAGAGTGAGAGTGTGAGTGTGAGTGTGAGTGTGAGTGTGCGTGTGCGTGTGCGTGTGCGTGAGAGAGTGCATGTGTGCGCGTTTTTGTGACAAATGAGGACATAAATGTGTATAATGACAAAGGTATGACATGGGTATTACAAGGAGAAGGTGACTTTTCAGGACATTACCCCATGTCCCCACTTTTCAAAAGGCTTATAAATCACACAGAATGGAGTGTATTGAAAATCTGAAATAGCAGAAAGTCTCCTGTGAGGGGTAGGTTTAGGGTTAGGGTTGGTAAAGGGCAATAGAATATACAGTCTGTACAGTATAAAAACCATTACGCCTGTGGAGAGTCCCCACTTTTAAAAACAAACCTGTGTGTTTGTGAGTGTGAGAGAGTGTGTGTGTGTGTGTGTGTGTGTATTGTCTGTCTCATCTGCTGGCTGCGATTAGAGCTGAGCTCTGATAATGTAACAGGTATTCCCAATTAACAGCTAGTCCACGGAGGCACAGGGATTAATGCCACTCGCAACATGGATTATATTCCCTCTGAACGCTGCTAATAAAGCTTCCGGCTGATCACGGATGACATCTTATTAAGATGATGCAGGAAGAGAGGGAGATGAAGGATCTTTGTTGGACATCAATTGTTTCCTGCAATAAAAGAGCAATTATTTTGAGGGCAGCCCGTCAGAAGCTCTAGTCATGTGTTCCTGTATGATGTGAAACTGCGGGAGGATGTGTTGACACAGTAGCTTTGAAAGACACGAGATCTGCATCTTCTTCTCTTCATCTCATTGTTCCTCTCTGTGTGTTTGTAACCACAGATCTGCCAAATGAACACTCAGTCTAATGAAACTAGAGAGAGAGCCAATGAAACACTGACAGGGAGGAACAGTTTTACTTTCAGAGCCAGATGGGGGAAGATGTTGCGATTGGTTTGGTTCATGGATCGCAACTCTTTATTGGAAAATTGTCTGGAAGCGGATCATAAAAAGAAGTGATGCCACTGAACTTGTAGGTGCTCACTGTTTCAGTCTGTTTTCTTCCTGTGACAAACTTTGTACTACTACAGATTAAGTAAATAGTCACTCAGCGTTTAGTTTTCGATCTTACACATGATTTCAGCTGTTGATCAGGGACACAATGGTGATAATTAAGGCTCATCCGTTGCAGGCCTCAAACATTCAACCTTCAATTAGTTTTAATGTAACACTTTAGTGACCAATTCTCACTATTAACTAGTTGCTGTGAGCTGTAGCGAGCAGCCTGCTGAACTCTGGGTACTGCTGTGTGTGTACTATATAACTGAATGATATCTGTATTTATTCTTCCTGCATTAATGTGCCTGTTGAGGGAGTGTTCAGCTCTGGTTAAAGGGGTCATATGATGATATTTTAAAGATCATTATTTTGTGTATTTGGTGTAACACAATATGTTGACATGCTTTAATGTTCAAAAAACACATTATTTTTCAAATACTGTACATTATTGTAGGTCCTCTATGCCCCGCCTCTCTCAAACACTTCGTTTTCTACAAAGTCCCTCCTTCCGACAAGCGCAGTCTGCTCTGATTGGCCAGCTGACCCAGTGCATTGTGATTGGCTGAACACCGCAAGCACTCGTCGGAAATGTAACGCCCCTTACCATAATCACCAGCTTCATCTTTCAAAATAACTATCAAGACAGTTAATAATGTCGTTAGTTTTAGCATCAGCTCAAGCCCGAAAGGGGAGCAGAGTCGCGTGACAGACACAGTGATGATGCAGTACACAAGCCGCGGTTAAGACAGCTGACGTGCTATGATTTCTGACAGACAGTTCACTCTCCTGTGATGTGACCCTGTTCCCCTCACACACACACACACACACACATACACACACACTCACACACACCCACACACACACACAACGCATTTCTCTGCACTGCGCAAAACTCCGCATTTGAACAGTCAATAGCAAATACTTAAACTAATAACAAAACATACTTACAGTCGCTGATTCAGAAGCGCCAGATTGTCACAGCAAAGTCGGAATTTACCCTTTTTTTTTTTTTTAGAAATAGCCTTTGTGCACAGCCAGCCTTGTACTCTTCTAGGTTCAAAAAACTGTCGTCCATAAAATGCGTTGCACAAATTCGAACATCTGGGTTGTGCTGTTCTGTTGTAAATAAATCTTAACCAATGTTAAGGCCAAATAAAGTGCTTTTGCTTTCGCTCTGAAACACAGCGTCTCTCTGACATGCTGCTTCAACACTACTGCTGTTACTGAAACCACGCCTTCTTTCTTTGCGTGCACATTTGGGCAGCGTTATGCAAATCTTCCCACATAGTGATGTAGACATGTGGGGGTGTGTTAGAACGAGCCGTTTTAGGTAGGCGTGGTTGACTCTAAAATTTTATAAAGAATATCTCTTTGGTTTTGAGACTTTAGTCTTTGCAACTTTACAGATCTTCTTTATGCACCAAGAGCTTGTAACACTCCAAAGAGAAAGGAACCATTGAAATCGCATCATATGACCCCTTTAACTCTTTAGTATTGCGGTATTTGAGAGCTATAATATCATGTGTTGCTGTCTTTTCCTTCGAATGCAGATAAATCGCCCCACTTCCTGCGTTTGGGGGATGTGGAGGTGAACGCCGGACAGAACGCCACGTTCCAGTGCATCGCCACTGTCCGTGATGCCGTCAACAACAAACTCTGGCTGCAGGTGGGACACACACACACACACACACACACACACACACACACACCTGTACTAAACCAGCACGCGTCCAGCATCTGCCGCATTTCCCTTGACTGTAAAATATGACATTATTGCCTGTAAAATTCACACTTCAGTCCATCTTTACATCAACACCAAATGATACTGGGATTGTTTTGTCCTCCCTTTTAAAAGTAGGTTAGTCTGTTTGTTTTGCTATCATAACTACCCTTGTGAAAAAGAATTACACTTTAACATACTTTAAAAGGAGTACTTGCTATGGAAATAATTTACTTTAAAAGAATATACTTAAAGGGATAGTTCACCCAAAAATGATAATTCTGTCATCATTTACTCACCCTCCACTTGTGCCAAATCTGTTGAACACAAAAGAAGATATTTTGAAGAACGCTGGTAACCAAACAGTTTCTGGTCCCCATTGACTTCCATTGTTTAGTTTTTTTCTGTGGAAGTCAATGGCTACTAGCAACTGTTTGGTTACTAACATTCTTCAAAATATCTTCTTGTGTGTCCCTTTAATTGCAGACTGAATGCAGTGTTGTTTAAATGAAAATATTATAGAGTTCAAATGGTTGAATTTTAGAGTGTTTTTTGACCCACTTAAGGACTTCAGTACATCTTTATATGTAATTTCATAATTATTTTGTCTTTAACATGGTTAAAGTGTTAGAGCTGACAAATGTTTATGATAAACCAAAATATACTTTAATGTAATTTCTATTGAAACTTGTATGTCATGTATTTAAATATATTTGTAATGATGAAGTTGCAATTTAGTATACATTTAAAATGCACTCCCCAATTAATAATATTAAATGTAATTTCTAATGTAATATCTATTAAATGTAGTATCAAATAACACAGTCCCGGTTTTAAAAAAAATACTTGAAGTACACTACAAGTGCACAAGTAATACAATTAAGCACACTTCTTTTTCACAAGGGTTTGATTAAGTATCGTTTCGCCCTGCTGTCTGTGACCCGTCAAAACAAAAGCTGTGACTGGTTTTGGCTTGTGATCTGTTGAGGAGCGTTGAGCTGAAGCTCAGATAGAGTTTTTAACACGAGCTGGTCTTTAGATCAGACCAAAGCTCTCAGCGAGACGAGCTTCACCCTAATTGGCCGGGAATGTCAAGTGCAGGATGTGCGGGAGCAAACAATTCTGTTGTTTTTAAGTTTGATTTCACAATAGTCAAAGAATTGCATCATTGCTGGAAACTATATCCCATATTCATGGTCAACGGGTGTATATATAACCACAATTACTAATCAAGCAGCTGGAGAGGCGCTGGCTTCATTAAAACTGAGCCTGTCACAGAGACAGCGTTTCCTCTCGCGCCCCTCAAACTTACCCACTTTATTCATCCCGAAGAATCATCCTGCTCTCTTAATGATGTCAGCATCTGCGGGTTTGGTTTGCATGTGGTGCTCGCGCTGAGGTGGAGCCCTGCCGCTGACCTTTGATTTTGATTAACTAATGAGAGGCCTTCACTTTCTGAGAAGACGAATGATCAGCAAAAGACTGAACGAGAGGAAGTGCCTGACAGGGTGGGAAAGTGTGTAGCAGAAGTGACCTTTTCTGCTCTGATACACGTAGGCCTGTCGCAATAATCAATATATCGACTAATCGCGCAATATATGCACATGACCTCAATCATTTTTGGTGACGCAATATATCGCCCATTATATTTACTTAAAAATTAATGTCACCGTGTTTTGTACATTCCACTTGCGTCTGTGTCTTCTGCAGCTTCTCGTACATAACGTGGTGTAGTCATGAAGTGCTAGTTAAAATTAAAAAATATGCATTATTACGCTGTTGCATTATGATTATATATTCAGTGGCATAAAATGGTCTTTAAAATGACAATAATATCGCTTATCGCAATTATTTCTGGGGCAATATATCTCACAACAAAAAGTCGTTATCGTGACAGGCCTAGATACACGAGGAGGTGCAAAAATGAAGAAAGCAAGCGAGTGCTGGTGTCTCCTGACTAATAGGAGGCGGCAGTGTTGAAGAGGCTAATGAGTGATGGTTGGGAGCGCACGCTCTCACACTTCACTCACACAGATGGCCTGTGACACTGACCGCCGTCCTTCACGGCTTCTCTCAGGCATAGCACTGGAGCTTCACCGCTCATGAGCATAACAGCCCTAAACCTTCACAGCATGTGGCCTTATGACATGAAGACCCATCTCTGCATTTGCGTTATTTAATAGATCCACGTACGGTTTCCAGGTGAAAGGCTTTTACTGTATACCACAACTAAGTAAGCAATAAGTAGAGTATCATACATCACTGTAGTTCAGCTATGGCTTACAATGGCTACAAGTCCTGAGGAAACACCACAGACTGATCACAGATCATTTCTGTTTATTTAGTTTGATTTTTGTACTGTCGATTGTTTCCTCATCCACGTTTTATACCTGAACAACACTGATCTGTAAAGTAACTACCAGTAAATATCTAGTCGGTTCCTCTGAAAATGACAAAACTCTTCAAGCACGAAACGTGGATCATTGTGACTGTTGACTGTTGAGTTGTGACATCCAAAGCAGCTTTAATGAGGGCAGATGACTGGATTGCTCAGTTAGACCTGCAGATATTAGATTTTTCGTCTGGTGTTGTCACATACAGCAGCGTAACGGAGAGGACATTCCAGTGGCGGAGAAGAAAAACATCAACCACAGGAAGTTTGCGGCCTCTTTCCGGCTGAGAGAAGTGAGCAGCCAGGGCCAAGATCTGTACCGCTGCGTCACCCAGTCAGAGAGAGGATCCGGCGTCTCCAACTTTGCTGGGCTCATCGTCAGAGGTAAAGCCTTGTTTTGTTACTTATGCCATCATTGTACTTTTCCGTATATTAAAATGCATAGTTCAGACTCTGAGCTCTGACAGGGGGAGCCATTATATGCCAAACATCTTCCCAAGTTTGTAATGAGAATGGTTTATAAATCAGTTGTCTACAAAAGAAAAGTTTCCCTGTGGTTTTCTGAGAAAATGAAAGCTCTGTGGTTTAACAAGGGGGAAATAAATAAATATTGGTATTGTGATCGTACTGTTTTTATTTAAGATAGTAATAATAGTATTGTTATCTAAGATAAAATTATTATGAAATGCTTTACAGCTGAGTAGTATTATAATGATATTTCTTGATTTTTTTAAAATCATTTTTAATTAGATGTGTTTTCCCAATATGTTCTGCCTCTTTTAGTTTTTTTGATACAATGCACATACACCTGTGACAGTTTTATTCCGTCTAATTATCATATAAGTGCCAATTATTAATTTAGCAGTTTCTGACTATTCAAAAGTGTTATGAAAGGCTAGAGAAGGCATGTTTATGATCATATATAATGAATAAAGGCTGTGTCTGTATAAACTAGTTTAAGGCCTCATCACCCAAAGCTCTGTGATCTTCTGCTCAAGTCAACGAGATGCAGGCTACAGCGACCATCTGCTTATTTAAACGCTGCTAAATAATACTAACGTATTCATATTCGAATTATCACTGGGTGCATGATGCCGTATTAATATGCACAACCTGTTTATGCAAACAAATCTCATTGGGTGCTTTTATGGTGACTTCGCCCGAACCCTTCTGTACGCGAGAGCGCTGCCGTTTTGGGTCCGGAGAGTGGCGCGTGAGGTTCCCGTGCGCAGATGCGACTCTGAGAGGAGTGCAATAGTTAGCGGCGGCCGCAGGGCAGAAGGGCCAGCTGAGTAGCAGCCACACTGACAGCTCAGATATCTCCACCACACTTCCCCAGCTGACAGCCTGCTACAAGGATACCAAAGATGGTAATTTCAGCTGAAATTTTTGGGCCATGGATTTGTGCGTGCGCTAATGGGAGCTGGCACGGAGTTGCCTATTGTCGCGCGTGACCCCGGGCGAGTGCTTTATTAGCTCCCGCTCTCCCTAATGCGGGACGACAGCGGGCCCTCCCGGCTGTTTGGGGCCGCTTTGTAACAAATGAAAATTTCAGTGGCGAATTCCTATGTTGGAGAAGCATCGATCTGCGTGTCCCCCAGCTGCAGGAAGAAAGATGGAAGAGGAAAAAAAGCAAAAAGTAAAAAAAACACAACAGAACAGAGTTGTGGCCTCAGCTTGTGAGGAGCTCGGCGCGTTTAGCCCAGGGTTTCCTGTAACGACATTAGCCCTCTCGTGCTTGTAGAGAATAAACCGAATCGACAAGACGTGTGCTGTGAAACAGATTCGAACGCAAGCAGTCAATAAACACCGCCCTGTTTTTATTTCGCTCTTCAAGTAAAGCCTCCAGTTGGAGCTGACGTCACAGAAGAACAGGTCCACTCAGAAAACCATCTACTTTATAGTCCCCAAAAACTAATAGACCAGGGTTTCTCAAACGGGGGTTTGTGAGTTGATGAAAAGATATTTTATTAAATCGAATGTAATATTTTACAGCAAATCGGGCTGCACAATTAATCAAAATAAAACTGAAATAGAGTACTTGTCCAAAGTTCGGAAACATTACGATTTAAAATGTTTTAAGTCTTTTAATGCTCACAAAGGCTGCATTTATTTGGTCACAAATACAGTAAAAAGACTAATATTGTGAAATATTATTACAATTTAATGTATCTGTTTTCTATGTGAATCTCTGTTAAACTGTAATGTATTTCTGTGATGTGCAGCTGTATTTTCAGCATCATTCCTCCAGTCTTCAGTGTCACATGATCTTCAGAAATCAGTATAATATGCTGATCTGCTGCTCAAGAAACATTTCTGATTATTATCAATGTTGAGAACAGCTGTGCTGCACAATATTTTTGTGGACACCATGATATACTACCATTCAAATGTTTGGTGTAGGAGTGTGTGTGTGTGTGTGTGTGTGTGAACTTGTTTTTACTACTTTGGGAGGACCAAAAGACCGCATAAAGAAAGTAAAATAAGGAAAGTTTGACTTTGTTTGACCCCAAAGACATGATCTTTTATATAAGACTATAAAATGACTAAATATACTGTTGTCCAAACCTAAACCTACCAACTAAAGGACCGCACAAAGTTGTATAAACAAGGATGAAATGAATACTTTTATTTTTATTCAGCATATATGCATTAAATTGATCAAAAGTGACAGTAAAGACATTCATAATGATACACATTTCTATTTCAAATAAATGCCGTTATTTTTCACTTTCTATTTGTCAAAGAATCCTGAAAAATATTTCCACAAAATATTAAGCAGCAAAAATATCAGAATGTAATAATATTTCACAATAGTAACATTTTTACTCTATTTTTGATCAGTAAATGAATGCAGCCTTGGTGAGCAGAAGAGACTTTTAAAAACATAATGTTTCCAAACTTTTGACAAGTACTGTATATGTTAAATCAAATTGCAAGTATCAAATCAAATTGAAATAATAAAATACAGTCTGTTTGCTGCATTGCATGTTTCAGAGTGACTGTGTTCATTTACACGTGTGCAGCTTATAAAAGTGTGTTTTCAGAGCGGCTTGTTCACAGTAAATGCTTCCGGCTTTTTTGCGGGCAGAAGCTTACAGCTTTTCACCGATATTCTGCCAGAACTGAAGTTTGAGGATTTGAAATGTGTAAAGCTTGAGGGTTTGAATGTTTGAAAGTGAATCATTTAAGACATTTGCGTTGTAACATGTGTTCACTCTTTACGAGAACCAAAACTAAGAGTATGAACACCCTTAAAACTATTTCTGTTAGCAACACAAGACATTTTTATATGAAATGTTATATTGCAATTCAAAACACAATTGCAATATATGACAAAGTAATCACAATATACTTTTTTGACCAAGTTGTGCAGCCTATATATAAACAATCTAACATAAAAACACTGAAAAATATATTTAATATTTTATCTGTTTACTTGCATGTCATGTGACCATTAACCAACATCAGAGAATCATGAACATGTAAATATGTCATTAAATTATTGAAATATTAACTTAAAATCTGGCTTCAAGTGAATATTTTACTTCTGGCAAGGAGTTCGGCTGACAAACACGTTGGTGAATCCCTGTAAATAACTGATTTGAAGAATATCAAAAATAATCCTCCAAGAACCAGGTAGCCGAATCAAGAAACCTGTACAGCCAGAAGTTGAGGAATCACACCTCAGCAGCCCAACACGGGCCGAACCCGCAGAAACCTCCACAGATTTCTCTCAGATGCAGGTGCGTTTGTGTCAGAGCGAGATGTGAGAGCGATATACTAGTGGTTTTCTAATGACTAGATAACAGGCTGTCACCCTCCTGTGAGTGTGAGGCTGATTGCTGGTAAATACGCCTAGAGAGACAGCCAGAGATCAGACCAGGCAGATTTTAAAGACTCCAGCGCTGCCTCCACGGTGCATGACGACGACACGAGCTCAAAGACAGATCGTTAAAGTTTGATGAAGTGCGATGATACTTCCTGATGACGAGCACACACACAACAAACGCAAACAAACCAAAAGAGCCAAAATGTCAACAACTCTGAAATCTGAGAGAACAGAACAGGGCTGCTTTTCACTAATGTCACACGCATCGGCTTCCTGATGTTGATACGCACCGATGATTCATTCAGTTTCACCAATATATCCTTCAGATGCTCACTTGAGCTGCATTCTGGGTCTAAAGTCAACATTTAGCCAAACATGCCAAAGGCGGCTGACTGTGAATATTCATTAGTGCTCACAATGCTAAATTTCGCTGTTCAGTATCAGTCAGTCTGATTTTATTTTTTTTCACAAAAGTTTCATCTGCTCACCAAGGCTGCATTCATTCAATCAAAAATAGAGCAAAAAACGGTAATTTTGTGAAATATTATTAGGGTTTAAAACAGCTGTTTTCTGCGTGAATCTCTGTTAAACTGTAATGTATTTCTGTGATGCGCAGCTGTATTTTCAGCATCATTACTCCAGTCTTCAGTGTCACATGATCTTCAGAAATCAGTATAATATGCTGATTTGCTGCTCAACAAACATTTCTTGTGCCGCCCAATATTTTTGTGGAAACCGTGATGGATTTTACTTTCCCAGATTGCTTAATAAATAGAAAGTTCGAAAGGACAGCATTTATTTGAAATAGAAGTCTTTTGTAATGTTATGAATGTCTTTACTGTCACTTTTGATCAATTTAATGCATCCTTGATGAATAAAAGTATTAATTTCGAAATAAAATCAAATAAATAATCTTACTGACCCCAAGCTTTTGGCGGTGCATCGGCGGTCAGAGTGTTTTCTGGTGTCAGATGTCACCTATATTGGTGAGTTAGACTTTGGTTAGGGGTCGGACCTGCATTTGATGCTTGATGAGTGTTAGTTTTGGAGCCCGACTGCACACCTAGAAGCCGAGTGTGTGAGAGGTGATTATACATCTGTCAGCGCTGAGAGAGAGACAGACTGATGTGCAATAGACAGGGATCAGTCTGTCTAACGCTGTCCGTCAGGTGTTAGATTGCCGAGTCCCCTGATCCATATTCCGCTCGGTTGCTGTCATATCTCTCCCTTCACAAGCCCCATCAAAACTTTACAATGAAAAAGCTGTGATGCTTCCCACAGGAAATATTTCCTTTTGCTTTTCCTCCCTCACATATTCTCCTTCCCTTTATCTCTCTCTCTCTCACACTCTTCCTTTACCTCTTCTTTTTTAACCCGGCCTTGCTTTGATCAAACACGTCCCTGCCAGGTCCCCGCGCGTGTGAAATAAATGACAAAAAAAGATTATTTCTCTGACTATAAGACGTCGAGTCGAGGGCAAGTGCATTTTCCAATTGCGTGATGGAAGTGTTCAGCAGTCTAGGTGTGTGAGTGAGTGAGTGAGTGAGTGAGT